CCAGACTCGCCCTGGTTCCGACCCACGGAGATTGCCTCTTCCCCAGGTGTTAGGGCCAGGGGCGTCCCTGCTCCAAGCCGCTTCCGCCCCTCTCCGTCCCTGGGCCTGTCCACCCCTGTGGCCCACCGCCACAGGCCCACCTGCGTCCACTTGTCTCCGCCGCTGGGCCTGTATGTCCCTGTCAGCCGCTGCTGGGCCCGTCTGCCTCTGCGGGCGGCCAACGGGCCTGTATATATCTGCCGGCTGCCACCGCGGGCCTACCCACCTCTGCCTGTCACCGCTGCCGGGCCCATCCACCTCTGCGAACTGCCACCAGGCGTGTATGTCTCTACCGGTTGGCCGCTGGGCCTGTATGTCCCCGTTGGCCGCCGCCACCGGGCCCTTCCACCTCCGCGAGTCGTCGCCGCGGACCCACCCGCGTCCGCCTGTCTCTGCCCAGTGGCCTGTCTACTTCTGTGGGCAGCCACCGCCGGGCCTGAATGTCTCTGTCAGCCGCCGCCGCCGGGCCCGTCCACCTCCGTCTGCTTATCTCAGCCGCAGGGCCTGTCCACCTCTGTGGGCCGACGCTGGGCCTGAACGTCTCCGCCAGCTGCTGCCGGGCCTAAATGTCCCTGTCGGCCGCCGCCGCCGGACCCATCCATCTCCAGGGGCCGCCGCCACAGCCCTACCTGCGTCTGCTTGTCTCTGCCATCTTGAATCTCCTCTTTTTAATTACATCTATAAGTTTTAATAATAAAGTTTATAAAATAAAATAAAAAATGCTAAATGTAGAATATATATTTTTCTTTCCTTCTTCATTATGAAGCCTGTTTATTTTATATAAGGCCTCGACCATAGAGCTGTGTTTCATGGTAAGGTTGGTATTCAGGCTCTTCTCACTCTATTGCCTGATATGGAGGTCTAGGTTAATTTGCCTGCAAGTTTGTGAATCTTGTTGATTTTCTCAAAGAACCAACTCTTCACTTCTTTGAGGCTGTATTTTGCCTTTTCAGTTGTTGTTTCTATTTAGCTGACTTCAGCCCTGAGTTTGATTATTTCTTTCTGCCTATTCTTTTTGGGTCTTACTGCTTCTTGTCTTTCTACAGCTTTGAAGTATATCACTAATCGATTAATATGAGATGTCCCCGGGTTTTTATGTAGGCACTTAGTGTTTCCCATAGGTTTTGGCAAGTTGTATTTCATCTTCCTTAAATTCTAAAAAGGTTGTAATTTCCTTTTTGATATCTGTCTTGATCCAGTTTTCATTCAGTGGTGAGTTGCTTTGCTTCATGGAGTTCATGTACTTTCTATCATTACTGTTCTTGATGCCCACCTTGAGACATAGTGATTAGATAGGATGCAGGGTATTATTTCAAAGACTTGCTTTGTGTCTCAATGTGGTCAGTTTTGGAGATGTCTTACTTAGGATTTCTATTGCTGTGAAGAGACACCATGACCATGTAAGTCTTCTAAAGGAAAACATTTAATTGGGGTTGGCTTACAGTTTCAGAGGTTTAGTCCATTATCATCATGGTGGGACATGGTGACATGCAGGCAGACATGGGGCTGGAGAAGGAGCTGAGAGTTCTACATCTTGATCCACAGGCAACAGGAAGTAAACTGTGTCACTGGGCATAGCTTGAGCATAGGAGACTTCAAAGCCCACCCCCACAGTGACACACTCTCTCCAACAAGGCCACATCTACTCCACTACCTCCTAACAGTGCCACTCCCTATGGGGGCCATTTTCTTTCAAAGTACCACTGGAGAGTTTAATGGGCCACTTGAGAATAATGTGTTTTCTTTAGTATTTGGGTGTAATGTTCTGTAGCTGTTTCTCTGTTTAGTTTTTGTTTGGATGATCTGTCTGCTGGTGAGAATGGGGTACTGAAGTCACCAATTAACACTTTCTGAGAGTCAGTATGTGATTTTAGCTGTAGTGTTTCTCTTTTGAGATTCAGTGCCCTTGTGTTTGTTACATAAATGTTTAGAATTATCCATTTATGGACATTTTTTTCTTTTTGAGTATGCAGTGTCCTTCCCTATTAACCAAATTTAATCTTAAAATTAATAAGATTCATTGTGGTTTGAAGTCTATTTTGTCAGATATTAAAATAACTACACTCCCTTGCTTCTTAGATCCATTTGTTTCAAATACCCTTTCCCATCATTTTACCCTCATGATG